CTCGTTATCTGCCCTATATCAGTTCCTGTCTCTTGTATTCTAGTTTGTCGGTTATTGTGAATGTTACCCCGTGTGTGTGTGTGTTCTTGACCTGCCTGGATGTTACCTGTTGTGGATATTAAAGTGCTTATTGGAATTCTTGTCGTCTTCGTCAGCCCTGCCTGTTTCCACACACCGTGACCGTGACAGAATAACCGACCCAATAAGAAACGTATAGCGACGTGTTTCCCCTTGTTTGTTTTCCGGTTTTTGTCAGTTTTTATTTTTGTTATGGATGACCCTGCCGTCCTCGTCCTCCTGCTGGAGCAGGGGGATCGCTCTCTTGAGGACCACACTAAAGACTTTGTGTTCCTCGCTTCCGAACCCAGAGCCCAGTCAACTTCCACCCCACGGTGTGGAGTTGCCCGAGCCCACCGCAGACAGAGAGCCAGAGCCAGAGCCTGCCGCGGTCATTGAGCCATCGCCATCAGGAGCGACAGAGCAGATGAGCCCACCTCGTCCAGATCGTTGGTGGCAGCTTCAAAAACACTCCAATCAGTACAGTCTAAACAGGCTTGTAATGCCCGCTCTGTTTCGTTGGTCCATCTCTTTACAGATTTCTTACAGATTCTGTAGCTGACCTTTTCAGATAGGGTGAGTGAGTTACACAAATTTGGCAGCCTCTGCTATAGTAAGCCCTTGTTTTATCACATGACATGACATACTTTAAACCAATGACCCGGACTTCATTTGATGCAACAGTTCCCTGCCTTCTTCCTCCCTCCCTGTGATGCCCACCTCTTTGATGGGGCCCATGCCCAACTCTTTGACCTCTGATGGGCCTCTTGTACACAGAGTCATTGATTGGCTCCTGTCATGTGCAGTCTCTCCTGCTCTATATTGACAAATTGCAAAAGCTACTGTAATATCCACACACTTGGGAAATGGTAAGCAACTGTGATTACCCTATGAGGTTAACTGGCAATACTGTAACATGCATTCACTGTTTTTGGCTACCTTGTTTCAAACAATTTGTAATTTGACATCTTCTCAAACACGCAAAATAATCAAATGAGTTGAAAATCTATAGGCATACCAAATATTTATTCAATAGATTATTGGACTAAATACTAAAGGACACTAAAGGAGGTAGAGCTTTTTCGCATTTGGCTCCCAAACTTTGGAATAGCCTTCCTGATCACGTTCGGAACTGAATTGAATTCTTTTATTAATCTATTGGATAAAATGGTAGTCAAATGTATGACTAAAGTGTATAAATAAACTTGAAACAATGTCAAGATGAAACATACTTTGATATTGTAATGACTTTGATTACTTAATTTTAGGGAATTAATTATTATTAATTCATTCAGGTTTTAAAAGGACAGGAACTGCTTCAACACTTCACTGACCCTGCATGAGTTTTACGACCGCAGCTGGCTGCATAGGGGCTCCTCAGTTTGTCTCAATGGAATGTGATTGTTTCATGTGTGACTCAATAGTGTAAGTGGGTCCGTTCGAAGACAGAGATCCTACAATATTCAATTATATAAACTGATTGATAATGATATTATGATATTAGTCTATTATATTAAAATATGCTGTAATAAATAAATAAATTTGTATGTGAAAACAGTACTAATGTGAATAAAAAAAAAAATTAAATGTGTGAAAATGTACCATTACTTATAATTTACCATGTCATCAGGAGAGGTGGCTAACCAATGCTACATCAGGATACACACGGTCAGTCCATGCAGAACTACACAGACTCTATGGATAGTCTTATCATGTCTAATGAGTTTTCACCATTAGGCACGCCACAAGAATTTTCCTGACAAGACACATAATTGGAGGAGCTGGGCAGCTTAAATGAGTTGAGTTTAAATGAAAAAGTTTAACTGAATCCGACAAGTACTGGTATATCAGTAATGCCTTTCAATTACAGCACTACAAAACTACCTGGTAATTTAAAAAAAGTGTTGTGCAGTCATAATTACTTTTAAAGGGATAGTTCAATTAAATGTCTGTCATTAATTACTCACCTTCATGTCAAACCCGTAAGACCTTTGTTCATCTTTGAAACACAAATTAAGATATTTTTGATTAAATCCGAGAGCTTTCTGACCCTGCATAGACCGCAATGCAACTACCACGTTCAAGGCTCAGAAAGGTAGTAACGATGAACGAAGGTCTTACGGGTTTGTAATGACATGAGGGTGAGTATTTAATGACAGAATTTTCTTTTTTGGGAGAACTATCCTTTAAGATAGGGCTACATAATTTACATTTTATAATAATGGTTATTAATTTAGATTGACAATATAATTTAACAATGGAATTTACATTGAAATACATAGTTTTTGTGAAATCTCATCCCAAAGAAGCTGTTACTGTAAGTTTCTCCCTGACTGTCCAAGTTACACAGTCCACATTGCAAGTGAGCAATGCAACACCTAACGAATTCAAACTGAATTCCAGATTACCACAGATGCTTTTCGATTTGGTTCTTAAAGCATAAATATGTGGATCAGACTGCTTCAAACTCGCTTATTAAGACCAGTTGTCATTACTGGTACTCATTTGAATTGCCAATGAATCCATATGCGCAACGGACACATCTGTGATTGTTACAATGTTCAACTTCTGCAAAAAACATGTTGTAAATAAAAGATTTTGACACAATTAAAAATATGATTAACTTTTACTTGGTTAAAAAAAGAATAAATAAATATTTCAAACAAATGCTGTTGTTTTGAATTTTCTATACATTGAAGTATCCTGAAAAATGTATCTTGGTTTCCACAAAAATATTTAGTAGAACAACTGATTCCAGTAGTGATCATAATAAATGCAGATGCTTGAGCACCAAATCAGCATATTTGGTTAAAATTCAGCTTTGCCATCACAGGAATAATTTACACGTTAAAAAACATTAAAATAGAAAGCAGTTGTTATAAATTGTACAAATATTTCACAATATTTCTCGATATTTCTACTGTATTTTGATCAAATAAATACAACATAAGAAACTTTCACAAACATTAAAAAAAATTAAAAAAAAAAAAAAAAAAACTTACCTACCCCAAATGTTTGAACAGTAGTGTATGTATGATTATAAATATGTATATTTTTTAAATAATTATGCAGGCTAATTTTAAACAACAAAGTTAGTTCCCATGTTGGACTAGATTCGCACTTGCTCTATGCAAACAATGTCATATGTGAATAAAGCATGACAAAAAGGGAATCACACATGACAAAGCTCATGCCAAGATAACTTACCTGGATGGTTCTAGAGGTTCTGTGGGTGCAGGTAGGGGTTCCTGGTCCTTCTCCCAGGTGATACTTGGGGTGGGCAAGCCATCTACATAGCACTCAAACCGGGCAGTGCCACCTACTGGCACAACCTGAGGTTCAGGATCCTGAAGAAAACGAGACAAGCCTAAGAAAGACAGAGAGAGCAAGAGAATGAGGCAGAGAGAAAAGGAGAAGAAAGCAACAAGAAATCAAAAAAAGGGAATCAGTGAATGCATCACATTAACTTTTCATGGAATAAGAACAAGCAATGTATCCACATGGTGGGAGTAGAGGAAGGCGAGCGGGGCCCCTGACCTCTGCTCCGGAGCCTCTGAGCTTTGAAAATTCTCTCACTTTGATCTGCTACATCTGCTAGACTCACACTGCTCATAACCCCACCGTACACTGAACAACTCACACACACAAGAACAAGCGAGAGGATACTCCAATATTCAAACAAGTACCAAATACATAAGCAGAGTCAAATTTTTGGTAACAGCTTGTTTCAGTTTGCATTCATTCGACATTCATTAATAGATTTTTAACATTTCCAATTTATATTAAATTAATATTAGTTGTGTGTGTAATAAACAAATGTGAATTAACAATAAACAATTGTTTATTTATAAATTAACATGAACCTATATTATTAAATGCTGTAAAAACTGTTGTTCATTGTTAATTCATGGTACTAAATGCATTAACTAATGTTAACAAATTCACTTATTGTAAAGTGTTACTATAAACTCAAACTTCCAAACAAACTGTCAACACTTATGCTAACAAAATCTTGCAGCATTAAACTTACACTAAATATTATCTACCCAGATTCATACTGAATTTTAATATAGCTTTAGATTTAAATTAGATGAATTTCATCAAAAGACAACTTAGCAATAACAATTATTTGATCATATTAAGAATACTAGGGGTGTGCAATAATGACAAAAATTATATCTCGGTATTTTCTGGAATTTTGTCGATAACAATATTTAGACAATATTTTTCTGAGCATGTTATTGTGCTGGTATTTTGACAGGTTTAAGACTGCCGTAGACAGCTGACTCCCAAAGATTTTGATATTCTTCATATTCTGTGCTATGGTTAGTTTGAAGGAGTAACCTTTTTTTACCTTTTATGGGCATTTTTACCTTTATAAGGCCAATTTTTTCTAACCTAATTAAATGTATGCATCATCTTTTGTGGCAAATTCTTAAATGTAATCAAATTCAAATAGTAAGACACTACAGGGTTGTTACCAATCAAATGACATCAGTATCAACAAAATTTATGTTTGCAATGCAGAGGTGGCACAGAATCTGGCATTTAGCATTTAGATGCATTTACACAGACTGTTTAATGCAGGACATGAATGCAGTTAGCCTGCAGTTACAAATGCATAAACAATGTTTTGATGTATTTAAAACAAAATGTTGAATACTACAATTGAAATGATTTAGGGGGGTGGGGGAGATATACATTAAATATAAACCTAAAATCAGCAGTAGGTGGTGGCAAATCACTGCTTGAGTGAGTCATTGAGTCATTCATTCAACCGATTCAAAACACCACCTTGTTTTGCTCAGAGACGCAAAACAGTTCTGCTGTGGCTTTGTTTGAAACTAAGAACTGTTGTGTCTAAAATATACAGTAAGTCACTTAATATTAACTTAATATTATTCTTGTTTATTGAATAGTTAATCAAATCAATATCACATTTGCAATTGGTATTTGGAGAAAAGCATCACTCTTTGAGTGATATTGACTATCAGATTATATAAATACATAAAATCATACAGGGGCATTTTTGCCACCTTATCTTGAATTTTGGGGGAATTCTAAAAGTATTTTAATAGACTAAATCACGCAGAGAAAGTGTGAATTCTAAATGTGCTCACGCAGTAGTCTAACCTACATCTCATAGTGTATGCATGCACTTTTTGGCAGTGTTTTTGCAATATACTCGATAATGTCAAATCGCATATCATTTAAGCAACAATTACGATATTATCGTAGATGATATATCACATACCTTTAAAATGTATAATGGACCAATGATATTTCAAGGTATTACTGACTATTGAAACTTCTCTGAAGTTGATTTATTGTCACCCAGCAGAGCAGGCATCAATTTACAGACAGTTCAAATCTAAAAAAGTTCCTAAACAAGCTCACACATGAAAAACATCGGCGTACATAACAGCTCCGCAGGCAGTGCAGCCTGCTCAGCTGAGACCTGTTAAACATTAACACCAGATATTTTTGACTTGAACATAGCATGCGGTCTAAAGCAAACACACTCTCCAAAAAAAAAAAAAAAAAAAAAAAAAAAAAAAAAAAGG